TGCACTACTATGAGTACACCCCCCCCCCCTCAGCATGCATGCGTATATCGCTCCCACACACACTCAACAAACAAAAGCAACAGGGAGTCCGTACTCTTGCTGCTCCATCCCACCCCCAGCACGCCTACTTCACGAAGGCGCATGACCTCCAGGAAAGGGTGGAAACAGCCAAAACACACCACATGCATTCTTCTGCGTCGTTAGGCAGCGCGGTCGACGGCAACATCAAGCAACACGCAGCCCAACACACATTACACGCATCCATCCCACCAAAAACGCATCTTCCGCAAAACCAAGAAAATTAGTGAGTGTGTCCATCCTGGGAGAGTTCACAAGGGCTAAGGGCCGTTCTTGGATATTTGTTGCAGCCGAACACGCGGCGACGGTGAATGGACGCACAAGGTAGCCTGAATATCGGACGGGACGCCAGTGGACACACAATCTACGGGTCGTCCACCAGTATTGCCTTAAGGCATACTCCAAAACATTGGGATACCAGAGGTTCAGAGTTCAAAATCCCGGCAAAAACACTGGTGCATACCAAAAGCGTGGCACTGCTGGTGAGTTGTACAAAAACACGCCAGGCTGCTACAACGGGGGACAAGTTTGATTGAACACTTTTTGCGACATACAAAAAGAGCGCAGACCGACCGTGGAAAAGGCATGACCCTGGTCAGAAAACATTCTGAACGGCGTTAGACGCGACAAAATTCACTGGCGACCCGGAACAAAAAAGACGGGAAAGCAAAAACAAGAAAAGACAAAAAAAAAACGATTCAAGAGATAAAAAAACGGGAGAACAACAAGACAACCAAACGGTTAAAAAAACAGTGACGAGACTACGTTAGTGTGTTCGGTAAACTGCGACCTGATGCTCAAGCGAAAGTGTTCCAAAAGCCTTGATGCGTGATAGCGCCCCGTTGGCCGACATCCCAATAAAACGCCACGTGACGTGGCTAAGATTTCATGTGTTACTGGCCTCCTGCTGGCCGGCATCTCAATCAAATGCCACGTCGTGTGCAGCCAGCCTTGCGGCGTCTACTTCGCATGGGCTGTTGCGAGAAGACGCGGTACTGCTACCTTCGAACGCAGCTCAAAAGGTGCTCGAAACGGCCCGCTAGATGAGACTTACGCACACATTTATCGTAAAATATAAAACGTTCAGTAGGCTGGGCATCGACCATCTCGGTAAAATTGTGCACGACCTCTACTACCACCACCACGACTTGCCTACCCGCGCGACCCAACCGCGTGCCCCCGGAACCCATCGCGTCGTCAGCCGACACAAGCGCACAGAAGAACAACGGCCATGCATACCACGTTTGTTATGCTCGCGTATCGTCGGCGTCTCGGCGCTCATCCCCCACCGCCGCCCCCTGTATTTCCTCATGCCTCGGCTCGGACCCCGCACTCGGCTCCAGAGGACTCAAGCTACCGTCATCCGACGTCGACCGCAACAGCTCCGGCCTACCGCCACCATTCCGGGGGTGGCAGCTATCGTTCAAGGCGTAGAATCCCACGTTGTCGTGCCTGCCGAGCTCCCAGAACAGCGACTCGGCTCGCCGCCTCAGCTTCTGCAGGTCCTCCCGCATGAGGAACAGGATGAAGCCCAGGTAAAGGGAAGCCCCAATGGCCGTGCACGCATAGAGCCAGGGGGCGGCCGCTCCCTCCGACGGGATGCCCTCGTCGAAGAGGAAGCCCACGACGATGGAGATGTTGATCCCGATGATGCCGATCGACACCATCCACACGAAGGCCGTCATGGAACTGGTAATAGTGAACTCGCCCATGATGTGCGGGCTTTTGGGGGGAGGAGAAGGGTCGGCAGGGATGGATGAGGGAGGGATAGTACTGCATGCGGTCATGCCAATGGGTGGAATATAGACTGCGCTGTTCAGAGACAAAACACGCCGAATTTTGCATGTTGGTGCTAATAGCGGCGACGCCTTCTGCCCACCAGCCAGGTGAACCATCTTACCACACGAAGAGGCAATCGAATCTTGATATGCTGCACTCTTTACCACTTCAATCGCAGAGCTCCTATTTTGGCCGCTTCTGCCCGGCCCTGCTCTATGGCATCGCGGTACTCTTCGGGGTCTTTAGTGGTAGGAAATGGTGTACGCAAAGGCAAACCCCGGACTGGTCGACAACCAAGCCTACAACACGCGGCCGCCGCCGCCGCCGCCGCCGCCGCTGCAAAACGCAGCGGCAGACACCTCCTCACCTGTTGCAGAACGTCAGGAGCGGGATGATGGCGAACGGTAGCTGCAAGCTCTGCAGCACGTTGAGCCACGCGCTCAAGCGGTCGGTCGCCCGGATGTCCCCGCCCATGAACACCGTCACCGCCAGGGCGGGGCCTAGAGCGATAAGTCGCGTTACCAGAACCCTCTGCCACTTGGGAATCTTAAGTTGCAGAAAGCCCTCCATGACGAATTGCCCCGCGTACGTCCCCGTCATGGTGCTGCTTTGGCCTGCCGCCTGTATTATTGAGGCCGAAAAAAACACATGTCTTCTGGTGTCAGGATTCACTCGCCTAAGCTCAGTTTTTGCAAAAATCACAGAACGGCATCGTTACAGACAAAAACCTCAGGTACCCTTTCACCAAGGCTAGAAAAAAAAAGAAAACGCACAAAAAAACACGACCGTTGTACATGGTAACGAACGTTGAAGACAACAACTGTACCAGGAACACCGGGAAATGTTTGGTAGGAAAAAAAACGACGCCTCCACTCCCTGGCCACAGAAAACCTATCCAACATGGATGATCGCTGCGCTCTCCTCACCAGCAAACCAACGGCCCACACGTACTTCGCCGATGACCCTAGCGTTCCCCGCAGCGCGGCCGCCGCTGCCGAGAGCCCTATCTCTTGGCAAAGCCCCGTGCCGTCCGCGTCGCAGCTGCCGTAAGACGGCTGCGTGGGATCGATCGAGTCCCCGACGAAGCAGGCCGACGGCTTAGACGCGGTGGCGCAGGTCTCGTCGTAGAACTGCTTGGCGAACGTGCAGACCACGGCAAGGTTGATCATGAACGCCACCATCAGCGCGATCCCGCTGTCGATGGTGTAGTACTTGGTTGCCTATTGTCGTCACCAATACCCAAAATGCGAGTTTGGCGCCACGAAAAGGCAGGGGACGGAAGGGGCGGGAACGGGGGCGAGATCAGAATCGTTAAATGTTGATCTCTTGTCTTCACATTTAAAAACCGTTCCGGTGTTCGCTCAGGACCTTCTAATATCCGCACTGGTTCAACTGACGCGGACGCCTTCTGGGGTACACAATTTCTAGAAAAGAACAAACATAAGTAAACTCTCGCGTCGGGGGAATTGGAACACAACGGTCCTGCAGACCATTTTCGCCACCCAGCACGCGACACAACCATATGGTGACCCCCTTTTCCATGGTTCATCCTTAAGAAACGTAGCTTGGGCCGACCGCAAACTCGCTCCGTCCCGCCATGGTAGGGATGCAAGGTCAATGGTTCCAACGACTACGGCAGCGCTTGCCGAAAGGTTGAGGGTCAGCGAACAGGGGTGCGAGATATATTAAAGGCGTAATTTTTCAACAACCCGGAGATTACCACTGTCGGAAAAGGGCGGTTCTGGAAACATCTCATCGAGAGCTTTCCTGCGAAGTATCAGTTGGCGCTCGCACCCTTCTCGTTGTGGAGAAATTACGGTACATGAGCACACACCATCCCCCCTCCCCTCTACAAACTCCGCCGTACAACAGCAGTAGCGGCCACGAAACCCGTCGACATGAGTCCATCCAGCCCACCTCCCACAGCTTCCTAGGTCTCGTCCTGTCCACCAAGCGCGAGAGCACTAAGGCGGAGTGCAGGTAAATGTTGTGGGGCATGATGACGGCCCCGATCAGCCCCAGCGCCGGCACCGTCGCGTACGACTCCGCCGTGAAGGAGAAGCCCTCCGCAACGTCTGCCGGCGATGGCGGGCTCATGAAGAAGTCGATGAAGAAGGCCACCGTCATGATCGACACCAGGAGCACAAACAACGCCTCGAGCTAATTGCGGGGGGGGGGGAGGGAACATTGAAGAAGCGCGGCCGAGGCCACGCAAGGCAAGTCCACAAGAATCAGAAGCATCGGCAACGGCAAGAGTAAGACCAAGTTAACCCAGGGAGACACACATGTCGGGCCGGTTATGCGGCCCTTCTCTCCCGGCGAAAAAAAGGCGGGGCCACGGCGCGTGTCTTAGCATGGTAGGTGGTGACGTTTGCGTATCTGCGGGGCCCGTTCCCCTCGGTTAGAGGCAGAGAATTCTCAATGCATTATTCGAGCAATGCATGCTCCTCTGAATGCCAATACCTTAACCTAGGTGGCATCGGGCTCCACGGTCTGTCGAGGTCAGCCTAAACGTCGCGGCACGCCTGACTCTCGTCGACTTCACATTTTCATTCGACGTCACATTTGTGTTCGACGAGCGCTGTGCAGAGAGAGTACAAGGAACCACAAGGTACAAAATAAAGAGGCACCACGTATGTGCAACCGGCGCCATAACACATGCTCGGCGAAGCCTGTTGGCCATATAAATAGTTGCGTTCCAACAATTGTGCCGTTTCGTGCCATGTGCCGTTTCGTGGAAAACGAAACGCCTCTCTTACCTTCCGCACGCCGAAAACGTGAATGAAGAGGAACGTAAAGGTATCCAACGCTGCCGAATCGTTCCGAGTGAGGCAATATAAGGGCCCGTTCCGCGTCAAGCAGTGGCACAGGAGCGTGGACATTCCGAAAGGAGAGAGGGTGGGGGACGTGATCAAAGGAACAAAATGAATTTCCACATCACAACGCATCGCGTTTACACCAGCGCGCACAGGGGGGGGGGGGGGGGGGG